ATAAACCCGTACGCACTTTAGGCTGCAATTAAACGCAACTCAATTTCGTAAATGTGCCCTTCAGCTTAGCAACCAATCAGAATGAGGCGGGAATTATTACATCCGCCATCTTTGTAAGCAATGGCGGTCGGCTTTCTTCGCTCTGTGCTTCTTTCAGCTATTTCTTTTGTGTAGCTATGTAATTTATTGTCTCAGTGTGCTAAAATACTGCAGTTAGTGTAATGTTCTATATGTTGGTGTGAAGTTTATTTCGAATCAGCGATGTTTTCTGGGTTTTTGCTGCTTATACTCAAGTCAATGTATTTCTTCAGGCAATCTGGCTAGTCTTGTGTTATAAAATGTCGGCCGGCTTTCTTCGTTCTGTGTTTTTCCGCTATTTCTTTTGTGCAGCTACAGAATTTGATGTTTCAGTGTGCTGAAATCCAGAAGTCAATGTAATGCTCTGAACGTTGGAGCAAAATTTTTCCTGATTTTGCTTTGTTTTCTGGGTTTTACCTGCTGCTAATGAAGTCACTGTATTTATTCAGCTAAGCTGGCTAGTACTAACATAAGACCTTACGTTTTTAAACGACAATCGGTTATGTTTTACCTTGTTTTCTAGATATCCGAAGTCGAAGTTCGTTTTCATTTAGCTAAAATAATTGTTGCTGCCGCCTGTGACTCTAACTGTTCGCACGTTCGTTCCTAATTGTCCTTTATGATGTTATCGGCAAAATGAAAGGAAACAATCTGCGTTTTTTTAATTTTCCTCAGTATTATGGACAACACTATCCCACCAACGAGTCAAACTAATACAGTGCCCAGCACTAGGGTATATCGGTACTGATTTCGAAAGGACCCAGACTTCTGACAACTATAGATGAAGTCGCCGATGCTACCAATCTATTGCAGAGGGTTTGTTATGAAAAATATGCCATATAACAGTAAAAGAGGTGTTGTACTCATTACTCAGAGCGTTATAGCAAGCTTAACATTGAGAAGCCGGAAATCTGCTAACAGTGTCTAGTGTATGTTTACTGTTTTGGCCATAAAAGGAAGCCAAAGGGTCATGATCAGGGAGTAAAAAGGTAATTAACTGTTATAAAGCTCACTTTTTTATAGATTATATTTCACCACTTGCAAATTTGTGTTTTCTTACGGTATGATGTCAACTGGTATCTAATATGTTCACCATTACGATGAAAAGTACCTGCAAATTTTCACCTTCATATTCGAATTATTTTTGGACAACTGTCTTACAGTCTGAGTGCTTCGTACGCCCTGGGAGACTAGATTCCTACATTATTCGTAGTTCCATTATAACTTTCTCACACAGTAAGGTCAAATTAGACACTAGTCTTTCTAAATAAGGCTGTTAAGCTAATATCCGTATTCTCTATTTCAGTTAACCGATAAAGACATGTACCACGTGCATCTGCTGTATACTGCCATTTTACTCCAATTCTAACCGTTATATCTTACTTTGATTTTTTTATATTATATATAATTCCACGTAAAATCTAGATGAAGTAAAATGTTAAATAGTGTCTTACGTGCAATAGTCGTTTAAATGTTCTGGAAATCTTACTCTTCTTCCAGAATGCGTTGTTCTAAGTTTATTTTCAGAAACCGTCGAAGTATCATCGTGCGTGTTGGTCGTCGGATGAGGTGTTATAAGTGTTGGAATCGTGTCGCTCGATTGTACCGAAGGAAAATCGACGTAGATAGGATTTCCTTCTAAATATGCTGCTTTGAGGCGATCAATGCTGATGCTCTCGTTAGTTCCGGTTACACAGTACTTAAGTTCGCGTTGAAGAACTTTGAAAGGTCCTTCGTATGTTGATTCGAAAGGTCGTCGATGCGAGTCTCGACGTACGAAAACGTGTGTACTATATCGTAAGTCAGGTTGAACGAAAACATCAATTGGTTGTGGCCGAGTGGAAACAGGTTTAACTGAACGCATTGCGTTTGTAAACCTGTTCCTGTAGGAGGTTAGATCCTTGTTCATTGAAGAGGATGAAGGATCCACGAATTCTCCTGGAAGTCGGAGTGTCGTTTCATAAACTAGTTGAGCCGCAGTGTATCCACTGTCAGCTTTCATTGCATTGCGAATACCTTGCAAGACGAGTGGAAGAGCCCCATTCCACTGAGAAACGTTTGCAGCTGAAAGTGAAGATTTTAGTTGTCGGTGAAAGCGTGCTACTGAACTGACGTCCACGGTCCGTAGTGATAGTTGAAGGGCAGCCGAAGTTTGCGGTTTTCGGTGTGTCGTCAGTAGCCATGGGAATTCGGTTATACGCTTTAACCGAGTCGATTTTCGAAAAAACAGTTGTACCTTTCAAGGTAGCTGTCAAATCGTGAGTGTGAGGAAACGGGTAACGATCGGGAATGGTTTTCGCGTTCAATTGCCGATAGTCACCAGCTGGACGCCAATCTTTGCTGTCCTTTTTAGGGACCATGTGCAACGGAGATGCATATGGGCTATTTGACGGTCGTATGATTCCTAAGTTTATCATGCAATCGAACCCGTTTTTCGACAACCTTAGTTTTTTCGGGAGCTAGTCGTCGTGCTTTAGAGAAAACAGGTGGTCCTGAAGTCGGGATGTGATGTGTAACATTGCTGGTTACACACGGTAGTTTCGGTTGCGTTTGCTGAATCCCAGGATACTTATCGAGTAGTGGTTGATGAAGTGGGTCTATCGTATGCTTAATTGTGACTTGGGATAATCTGCAACCAGAAGAAGAAGTTACGCAAACGGATAATTTAGTGTTTTCGTCTACTAGCCTCCATTTGCGCGTATCGATGATTAAATTATGGTGTTATAAAAGGTCCATACCAATGATTGGCATGGAAACATCTGCAACAACGAAGATCCAGTGAATGGGTTTGCGTAAACCCACGTTAAGGTAAACGTACCTTTTGCCATACGTAGCGATAGGTTTTCCGTTTACCGCCTGTAAGTTTAAAGCCGATTCGTGAAGCCGGTCGTTGGGATTTGCTGGGAGAACGCTAACTTCTGCGCCAGTGTCGACGAGGTAGCGAACTCTCGTTGTCACATCTGTGACGTATAACAGACGGCTATGTTCGCCGGCTACGGTTGCTGTCAACGCGTGCCGGCTTGGAAGTTTCTCGAGTTGCTTTTCGTGTCGGTCGGTTTTGAGTTAGGAAACTTGCAGAATTTTCTGCAATTTCTGGAAGATTTTTCATACTGGTTATGATACTGGCACCAGTCGGAATTATCCGTCTCATGGTTTAGAGACAGGTCGCTTACGTGAAGTGTTTCTACGTAGAGTGTGTGATCGCTTACGGTTATTAAGAGAATTAAGATGACGCGTAAGTGTATGACATAACTCTGTTATATCATTCTGGGTCGATTAAGGCTTTTCCTTGACTGAAAAAACCTCGGTAGAAGATTTCGTAATTCCTAAGACACGATCAGCAGATGCAGCCAGCTCGTCTAAGGCGTTGTTGTGGAACGAGACAAGCACAGCTTGCACCTGTTGAGGAAGTCTGGACAAGAAAAGTTGTTTAAAAAGGCTATCATCGAACATGTCCGTCACAGAACCGTGATGCAGGTCGATGTTATTTAGCAATTGGTCTAACCTATTTAGATATGTTAGGTCTCCTCGTTTAAGGACAGATCGTAAGGTTCTGAAAGATCACTGGTGAACATACTAGGTGTTACGTACCTGTTGAATTCCTGCGGTAGTTCCTTGACTACTGCGAGAAATTGTGCACGTATGTCGATCACGTCGTGCTCGAAGTAGTCGGCTTCTGCGTAGCAAAACCAGGCTTCGATGTTGTCTGGCCAGAAGAACATCAGTTGAAACGAATGAGGGGACAAAGTCTTAAGCATAAGTACTTTGGGTGTCTATTCAGTCATGATGAAGTATGAAGTACAAGAATGAACGAGGGAAAAATATAATATTATCCAAAAACACACAAAAATATCACAATGTATAAAAACTTACGATAAGACAATGATATAAAGAATCCCCAAAAGGGACCGACTCACAGTTTGCAGTTTGGTGTACCAGAACACGTCGGGCTCACCAATGCAAATGCCACAGGTAAGTGAAGTTTGACAACGCTTTAACGAGTAACACCTTTTAATATAACTCGTACCCACCAAGAGAAATCAAAAGACAGAATCGAGGAGATCGGAAGATATATTTGTTGACTGTCAATATGTCGAGAATCGTCTGATCTAGACTGGCTGGCGATTTCAGGGATTGTTGAGCACGGCGTTCCCACACGTGATCTGGTACGGATACATGATCGAGCGCCCTCAGCTAGGTGAGTCCATTAAACCATGTGGTCAGCACCAATGTCGAAAATTTACAGAGCTATTTATTTCCGAGATTTATCTGCCGCTACACAGTAATCTCAGAACCACTAGTCACTGTAAGGCTACTGGTTCTACGAAAGGCTATAGGGCATTATGGTCTATTTGTAGGTCTTTCCAGTATTTAGATGATGAAATGTTTAGATTACTATACCCGATTTATGTGCGACCACACTTAGAATATGGGATTCAAGCATCGAGTCCTTGTTTCACGTATGAAGCAGATATGCTGGAAAGAGTCCAACGATGAGGTACTAAGGTGGTACAAGGTCTATCTGGTCTATCTTGTGAGGACAGACTGAGACACCTTAACTTATTCCGTTATCTTACCGTAGAATACGTGGTGATCTAATATTGGCTAATCGTATACTGAACGATGACCTTAGTATTAGCATGCCTTATTTTTTACTCCCGTCTAGGACTCATCGAAGTAAGTTCAAGAACCGAGATCAAATCATTTACGTCTGGAGTTTCTTTTCTCTCACCGAGCAATGAATTACTGGAATTCTCTACCGGAACATGTAACATCAGCATCTTCTGTTGATATATTCACAACGAGGTTGAACCTTCACAGTATTACAAACTGAAAGAATTAATATAGATCGATAGACCTCATATACTTATTACTGAAGATTGAATACTCAAATCGGTCATTGAAGGTTAGGTATTCCCTCACTCTTTGAGACGTGCGTTACATATGGTCTAGCACATGCTTATTGATATCACTTACTAATCGCTTTCAGCATTACGTTTAAGTTCAGTCTATGTGCAAAATGGTTCATTAAGCCTATGTTTTTGTCTTTTTTCGTTTAGGTGCATAAATAATTTCCTCACGTTATTAACAACTAACTTTCAACCAGCTAATAAACCCTCCAATTTGTCTTTATAAACATGCCGAAAAAAGTAGCAAAAGTTGATAGCGTTGATACATCCAAAGAAATTTTAAATCTTGAGTTGGAAGGATATTCACCGGGTATTAGTGATCGTGATAGCATTACAATCTTGTTGAAACATCTTTTCCCTAACGACTGTGTTATCAATATTGAGAACCTTGCCGAATATATTGTGTCACAAGACTCAATTGGTACTGTAGTTAAACCTACATGTGATGATGAAAGCGATGATGATGATGACGATGATAATATAGTGTTTGCAGTGACCAGCGTGGTAGATTTAAGCCATGAGTCAGCTATGAAACACTCCGTAGTCAAAGATCTTAGGAACTTCATCCTTGAGGGAGTTAAAAGTTCGAAAAACGTTCCGACGAGATGTAAGGTCGAGGAGCTCCTTGAGAAGGATGTGGACTGCAAATCATTTCTTCTTATTAATGAACGGTTCGAAAACCTACCACTTTCTATTTGTTCTGAAGCTATTTCTTCCTTACCATCTGAATTTAAATCCTCTGATTTACTCCCTACTCATCTCTTCATATTATCATGGGCATATTCAGAAGAAGTCAAAGACAGTGATAAGAAATACGAATTTGCATATCCCGAAATCGAATTTGTTGTTCCCCATGCTCTACATGTATTGGAATTAGATCATAACAGTCTTACTCTTCATAGTGCAAAAAAGAAACAAAGTAGTGATGGCGATGATGATGGAGGAACAAACGACTTTAATACTTTGTTATTGATAATTATCCCAATGGACAGATTCCATGACATGTTAACTTCCTTGGCTAGTCACGTGTAAATATACTGAGTTTGCAACTGTTGTTACTATTTTTAATGGATATTTACCCGGGTATACCTTCCAAGATGGAATGAACTTTTCTTCGGTTTCAGGTCTTTTAGGGAACAAATACGTAGAACTATTGTGTAGCTTTAAGTGGTAAAAATTCCGTCAAAACGAGATCTCGCCTCACTTTTCTTTCATATAGGAAGTTCTTAAAACTATCAGCAAATGGTTTGATCTGTTGTTTTGATTTCGTACATTCAGTCATTTCAAAAATATGTGACCTAACTTAGCAGTAAAAATAGTTCAATTATTTTCTCAGGATCTTTGATTTATATAGGTTTTTTCGACGTTAAATATCGTTGTAAGGGTAGTGTGTTAGCTAACAATACAGGTTTATTTTATCTTGGTTTATAAATTCGGGACACGTTTGTTGATAGTAAATAAATGGATCAACTGTTGAGTTATCGTCCTACAAACATTTCTAGTATCAGTTCCTACTCATTATATACAAAATTTTGACATATCCTATCTTGATTTGAAAATGAAGGGGTGAATAAATAACAAAATAAAAGCTTGATGTCATTCTATGGCTTACAAGTTGAGAAAGTTTAGATGTTAAATGAAGTCGTGAGATTAATGATCGGAACATGGGTCAGATAAGTGGAGGGAAATAATGGTACACCTAATAATCCGACTAAATTTTTAGTGGAAGACTATGTTGTCCATAAAGTCATACAAATTCAGTGAGACAGAAAGCGAGGTTAGTGCTGAGTAAATTAGTCATGTGCTTGAAAGGTTAATCGTGACGTTGAACCAATAATAGCAGTAATAACACAAAGATGTATGAATAAGAGTAAAGGGAAATATATTTGACCCAGAAAGCTTGTATCTGCATTAGTCAAACTACATTATCCTATTGTTAAAGTTCCTAGTGATTTATTAGCCATTCGGTTGGCCAAGGTAAGAGGAGTTGAATATATCTCCTGTACACAGCTCCGGTTTTGTAATCCAAATGACTTGCTTCTGCGGTTTGGAGGACTTTGAGTCGGACCGACGTTTCCACAAGATTACTAACCCGGTAAACTACTAAGAAAGATTTACTTACACTAGCGCTATTACCAGTTTGCACTAGATGGTCCACTATTGAGCTGTTCACTGTCTTAACTACACCTTTGCTTAGTCACTCCACGAGGCGTTCAAGAACACAAAAATGTAGATTCATGAAACTTCGACTAATATAACTTGCTTTACGAATTGATGAATGCAAAACGAGTTAGTTATTCTAACTTGTTTATCTTACAATCAGCATTCCATTAAGTACATCATCTCTAAATTGTAGGCGTACATACATAGATGTTTTGCTCTCAGTTAAGACATTATTCTCTATCTTCCTGGCTAAATGATATCGATGAGTCAATCACAACGTAGAACCTAGTGCATATGTACATCAATCCAAGTTGTCATACCAAATCCCAGGTAGTAATAGAAAGGATTAGACACGGGACGTGCGATTCACGAGCTCTAGTTAGGTGTCAAAATATCATCAAAGCTAATATTTTAGACACTATATAAGTTAAACTTATTCCTTTATTATTGTCAGTAGGGAATTTTTGTCCTTTCTAATAGACCTACGACCAACGATCGAGACCGGTCTGATGAGATTAGCAATGGTACTTATAAATTGTGATTCGGTTGAATATATTTGTATGCTAATGTACGGAGATTCTTATGTAGCCATGTATGTGTTCTCGCAAAATTTAGTGATTGAATACATAGTAGAAATGAAAGTTCTCGTCCCTCTTCCTACTTAAGTTTACAAGTACATTGTGTCCGTTAATTGTCAATAAAGATGAAACGTGAAACATGTAAGCTTTTAAACTAATTGCTCTCAAATGTGGAAAATATTCCTTTCAGCACTGTGTAGTATCGAGTTACTTTTAATTAAGTGGTCACAATGCAGATCTAGTCAATAGATTTAGGTCTTCACTGGGAGTAGTGATTATTATTATCCTCTTTTGCAGTTTCCACAGCAGCAAGACTAAGTAATGTAATTGGTTTCACGTCCATATACAAGTACATACAGACAAGGCGGTTAAATATATGGAATTATGGCTTAGTGGTTAATGCATTCGACTTTCTACTGCTAAATCCTACGTCCAAAGGAAAGTATATAAATCATTATCAGTTAAATGAGTTAATAACAATATTAAATTGTTTGCAAGCTAGTGTTACGCGAACGAAAGTACATTAAACTTATTCCTAAAAAATACGCACTCTTGGAAATGTAAGACAATAGTATTAATGGATGAAGTTTTATTAATATGGTACAGTTAATAATTTTATATTGATTGCTAAAGAAAATAAAAATGGCCAAAGTAATACACTTAACAAGAAAAGATGAAATAAATGTATGACTGAAAAATGAAATGTAATGATCAATTTGATAAAGGAAGCTATAGATTTCTCAAATGATGGAGGGAATTTGTAGTTTAGGTGAGTGCTTCTGATCGTGTTGTGTTTTCAAAGCCCTGTGCTTCAGTTGCGAGGTTTTCGTTGTTATTCTTGACCACACGACTAGGGCTTATTAAGCCTCAAAGTTTTGGTGTTTTTTCTATTGAATTTGTGTCCATTGCATGTGAAGATTCAAATAATGCGAAGGTATATTTGGACGCATCCGAATCGACGTAGACCCCACTTACCAATGTATACAAAGTGTTGTATTGAAAGGTCAAAAAAACAAGACCCAACAGAAACACGAGAAAAAATGAGGCTGACGAGACGTTCAAAAACATTTATTCACAAAAAAAGTTGATTTAAAGTTTGCGGAATAATTAATATACTTCTATACAAACTACGCTTTGTTGGTGTCGTCTAGAAGGACGACAAAATCTTCACATTGCTCGGGGAACAGCCTAAATCTAGAGCTAATCAACGTTGTCATTTCAAGGATTAGATCTCAAATACAAAGCTCAGTTTAGATTAGACATTATATAGTTTTGGTTAGTGAGAAAGCCAACAAGATGCAGACTCCTGTTAAAGTCGTGAATAACAACACAAAGTGTCTGATTTATTGCCTAATGATTGGCTTGCAAGAATGGTTATTTAACAATAGAAAGGGAAGTAGTTAGTTGTACTATCCACTTTTATTTTATCAATTTTCGTTTTTTAATGTTTAACCAAATCTTGGGACGGTTAAGGGGAGTGTGCTTGGTGTTCGGTAATCTGTCTGTGTATAAAAGAATGGCTATATCATACAGCAGTTAGCCATGCTAATTTATACAGCTATGTGATGTTACACTCAAAAGTAGCATATATATGTTTACTACACCTAACAGCATAGAATTAACTTGATAAAAAGCAGGATGTAGAACCGGATCAGTGTGTGATATCTTCTGACGGACTTATTGACTGCTGATCAAAGCCGTGTTTTTAAATGCAGACTTCCTGGTTGTAAGACAATCGAGCTTTGTGGTTGGAGACTTTAAATGGCATTGATCAACATTTATTTCAATGATGTATGATATATTTATTTTCTATATTTGTCTAAAATTGGATATCCCATACTTTACATTCAGAAATTGCCGTCAATTACTTTTCGAGCTGTGGTTACAAATGTTTAATTTTCCATCATCACTAAAACAATTGTGTTAACTAGTTTTGCTAAAAAAATTCGATTAATCTCGTTTTCATTTTCTTTAGTAAGAATTATAGCAATTTGATTTTATCCAGGTTTACAGTTTATATTCCGTTTTGTTTATCTAATATTGTTTAGTTCATCAATTTATTTCGGTTGCACATATCTAAAACTTTTCATTTCATTAAACTACACTTAATAATCATTTTGACTCTATGATCTTATGTACTAGGTTTATTCATTTGTAAAAGGAACGTAAAACCTAGAATAGATAGCTATCATTCAAAGTCACTATAACTCATGTCAATAAAGCAAGAGCAAATTCACAGTACGAAAGTAGTCGGATCACCAACATTACCACTGCCGAAGATATTGTCCAGAATGATAATTAATAAATAGCATTAATGCTATCAAGTTTATGCTATCCCAAAAGAAGTTGTGCATGGTTGTGTTAAAGCGGTAATATTACAGATTGGCAAAAACAATTTACCCTCTCTTCTGTTGTCCAAGCATTAAAACTCAAAGCCAAATAAAGTGTATACTTGTTGAGTATAGATATCAACACACACCAAACAAGAGGAAATAAGGCTGTAGATGAGCATTAATAAGAGCGAGCATCAAAATGGTGCTTATTAACCAAGGCGAACGTCAGAATAGGTTATAAAAATTTATAGGTCATGGAATTTGTCGCCTTTTTACCTGCTATCCGTTCATCTCTATAACCAATGTAAAACGTAGTTCTTAAATATTTAATGAAAAGTTTACTTTTGACAGATACTGTAATTTCCGAGCCTAGTAATAACTTGTTATTCTTATTAACTCAGTCATGTTATCTCATATACTTACTTTGAACAAGAAGGCTGAAAATATGGTTTACGTGCTTAATAATTCGTAGTGATGTTCAAAGCATGTACTTATTGAATAACTATTAAGTATTATTTCTCTATGATATTATTTTCCTTATAAATTTCAAGGAATTCACCCGTACCTGTCAGTAAATGTGAATGATTCAAATGGAACAGACCAGTCGAGCATTTTGAAACAAACTAAACTCTACTTCTGCCGGATGATTTGAAGTTTCTTTTAAATAATACACTATCAATTCTGCCAATGTACAAACTACTCCAGGTAAGGATAGACGGAACTGGATTTAGTCGAAGGATGTATGTTACTAAATTTAGATGTTGAGAAGGGTATATGTTCCAGGTGTGATAATTAACGTTGGCAAATGTGAATTGAGTGTAGATTACTTCGAGACAACTTATTGTGTCGCAAGTTTGCGCAGAATAGATAGAATGTAACTAACAGTGGAATCTAGAATGAGCGTTTCATCCTATTTGGGACTCGTCATCTGAATGTACCTGTATCACAGAATGGAGGCTCACTCAGCTATTCAAACAGT